TCTCAGAAGAAGAGCTAAAAATGGCAAAGAACAACAGGAACCAGGATACAAAGACACATGCACCTCCATGTTTATTGCAGCACTGTTCACAATAGCCAAGATTTGGAAACAAACCGGATGCCCCACTACTGATGAGTGGATCCAAAACTGGTCGTACCTATGTACAATGGAATATTACCCAGCCATTAGAAAGGACAAAATAATGGCATTTGCAGGGAAACGGATGGAACTAGAACAGATTATTTTGAGCGAAGTAATCCAAGAACAAAGAGACAAATGGCACATGGTCTACCTGATATGTGGCTGCTAAAGCCAAAATACAAGAAGATATGGCAAAGTAACAGGACTCAAGAAACAAAAGACAGCCACCCATTTTGTCATAGCTTTGCTAAATGACTCCATGTTCTAGACCATCTAGATGGTAGATATAGGCATGCAACAGAGGGAAGCCAAGAGGGGGAATAGAATAAGTAGGAACAGCCTACACTAAGCTAAAGGAAAGAAATGTAAACATCCCCTGAAAAAAGAACTTGTATTGTCAAAGCTCATAGAAGTCACAAACTGTATAGACCATGATCATGGCAATTTGCCTCATGAAAGTCAAAATGTGTTTGTGACTCTAAGTATCACTATTCCACAACACTGTGAAATATGTGACATTTATGTAACCCCCTAATCTCAATTAAAGAAAAAAAGTGAGAGAAGGCATGGGTGAAGAAAAATGGGTGACAATGTTGTCCGACACTTTGTACTCATATACTGTTTTGTAGAATGGGAACTTCTTTGTAAAACTACTTAAAAATCATTTTAAAAAGTTACAGTTAGGTAGCATTCTCCTGAAGCAGCTGGTTCAGAGGCCCAGGGCGGTAGGGAAGGAGTGGACACAGACTTTTCCTGTATTGTGTACCTTTTGTGTGTTGAATGGCTCAGTTTCAGTCCTCTTTCAGCTTTAGATGCATGCTCTGCCATATTTCCCACTCACTGTGGGCAGAGCTCGGGAGTCTTGGGAAGTGCCAGATTACCACTGTCAGCCACAGTTGCCAAGGCAAAGAGGCCCAACCAGTCTCAAAGTGCCTTTCTGGTTGTTTTACATCTGTGGGGTCACAGGACAGAGGTGACAACTTCCCTGCTGTGCACTTAGAATAGCCCTTAGAATAGGAGACAGTGGGTCCCCTGCAAAAGTCCCTTGTGGTCCATGGGCTCTAGTTTAATTGTGTAAGCACACACCCAGGGGATGGAAGACTAGCATTGAAGAGAACTATACCTCCAAAGCACACAGAGGAGTGAAGGATTTGGTGTGGTTCCAATGTTCTTATACTTTTGAATGTGACATTCTAAAGTTGATTTTGAATTCCTGAAGGCTCCATGCTCTCTACTATATCCCCCCGATCCCCGCCACTTCTCTGCACACTCATTTTTGCTGAAAGATTGTGTGAGACCATGCATTGAAATGCTGGTGATGGTATGTGTTGGGATATAGTTGCCAGCAACTGCACTCAGGAGCCCAAATTCAGGAGTGAAATGGCCACTTCTAGTCCCTTATTTCCTATGGAAATGATGATGCCCTCCACCCCTGTACCTGCCGTCTCTCCACTTGGGAAGCTACATCAGGATCCCTATCCACTCTATGATTTGATTCATTGTTATGTTGTTGCTGCAATGAGCATCATTTCTGCTTTACCAGCAACCACCCCATTTCCTGTGGCTGCAGTCAACAAACCTGCTGAGGACTGTTTTTAATGTGTTACCACAAAGTGACAATTGTGACAGGTTTGCCTTGGAAGAGTTGTCATTTTTACTGCCAATTTTTTGGATGACGTTTTTATAATCTTTCACAAAGTCTGCAAATCAAGCAGGAATTGCACAACATACTCGAGAAGCGCCCTGAGTCCAGGCTGTTCGTGGGACCTGCAGGTACCCTGGGACAGATGAGCAAGCACCCTGGGAGCAGCTTGCCCACTGCTCTCCTGGCAGACTGGTGTGGCCACTGACAAAAGTTGAAAGACCTAGAGCACGAGCCATCAGGCGCATGTGGCTCACTCTTCCCTCCCTGCGGACATGGAGGCCTGTGCAGACCTCTGAGCTTCTGAACCAGCAGACTGGAATTTTCCTCTGCTACCTCTGTGTATAAAAGTCCAAAAGAAAGTAGTAAACTAAGGAGGAATCTTAATTCTAAGCTTGGGTCATGTGTACAAGAGATCTTAGCTTGTAAGAGCATAAAATAAATTTTCCAAACCTGAGTGAGTTAGTCTCACAGACATTTTTCTCCAAATACCACAATAGGAGCATGTGAGGAGCCGGATCACAAGGGTCTGAGGCACGGCCTAGGTGGCGCTATGCTCCCTTCCCACACTCTGCTCTGACTGGTGGTCAGGGCCACTCTGCAGTAAGGATCTGTGGGTGTCCTGGCCCCTCTGAGATCTTTCCTCTACCCCGGACTCCTTTATAAAGCTCGGGCAAGGATACCAAACTCAGGCTAATCGTCTATAGACATCCTCCTGGAGCTTTGGCTCTCCCAAGGAGTTCACTACCCAGTAAAAATCCTGTCTTCCCCATTGCTTGCTCCTACAAAGTCTTCCTTCTGTTCTCATTCCTTGTGTCCTGGGTTGCTCACATGAGTCCTCTCCCTAGTGTTATTCGAGATCTTCCTTTCCCTGCAGGCCAGGCACTTCCTCCTGACTCATGGTGGCCAAGTCTCTGTAGGAAGCTATTTAGGCACAGGTATCAAGCCACCTGGCTTGGGGTCAGTCCTGGGCCTCCAAGAACAAGCAAGCAGAGGTGACAGTGGAACTGGAAGTAGAGATCTCACATTGGAGCCATGATTACCCCTTGACTATTGAGCACTTGCCACCTTTGGCTCTGAATTTTCAGAAGAGAGGTTGGGAGGAGTTTTGCACCATCATTTATACATTGGTTGAGTAGAGGTAGACATTATCTAAAAACAGTGACACTTGCCAAAACTCGCTAGAGACAAGAGTTCCTACGCTGAATGGGATAACTATATCTTGTAAAATGGATAAAGATACCATGTGCTACAGGAATTCTATGAGGAGGCCTAGCAGAAGGGTTCTTCCAAACTACATAGAACCCACTGCCCAATAATAACTCAATTCCAGCTGAAATGAGTAGAATGAGTTTTGTAAGGCATCCCTTACACAGCAGTAGATAATTGTAGGGATTGTATTTCCCCAGCCTCTCCTAAACTCTTCTCACCTGGAGTCTCCCAAAAGCCAGAAACTTTCCTTTCCTCTAACTGGAAAGCTCTTAACTCATATGGCTCTAGATCTGGTGCAGAAACCTGCCTGAGAGTGCCACCTACTGCCAGAAGAGATCACTGCAGGCTAAAATAGAAGACATCCAGGAAGTTAGGTTTATCATGATTAGTCCTTGTTCTTCTCTGGGATCTTGTGGACCTGGCAGATACCATCCCACCATTGGCAGGGGACTTGTGCTGCAGTGTGGCACCAAGAGTAACTTCATGCCAGCATGATGGTTGGAAAGCTAGTCACATGCCAAGCTTGGTTCAAGTCAAGAACCGTAATCATGCAGGTACCCTGACTCAGAAGCATCTGCAGGTTTGTGAGCAGCAGTGCCATGACCATTCCCTGTGCTAGGCCCAGTGCTCTTGATGGGGCCTGGCATGGGAAAAGGGTTGGGAACTTGGGCTAGGAAGAGGCACCACAATTGTGTGTAGGTCTTGAGCTGGCTACATATCGACATTCACTGTGCTCCTGTAAGATGAGCACCAGAGGGAGTTCCTGGTCTGCCTGCCAGTCCCAGCGGAGCCAAGCATTCTCCTTGTCACTCAAATACAACTAAAAATAAAAATGTTTACAAAACCTAGAGTAAATATCAAGTCACAAAAGCAAAACAGGTCAGAAAATTGATTTGCTATAAAAGGGCAACAGAAAACAGGGTGCCAATGGCTCATGCTTCTAAGCCTAGCTTACTCAAGAGGCTGAGATCTGAGGATCTCAGTTCCAGCCCAGGCAGGAAGGTCTGTGAGACTCATATCTTTACTCAACTAGCTGGAACTAGAGCTGTGGCTCAAGGGGTAGAGTACGAGCCTTGAGTAAAAGAAAGGCTCAGGAACAGTGCTCAGGCCCTGAGTTCAAGCCCCAGAACTGACACACAAAGCCAACAGAGACCCAAAGGATAGACAAGTGTTGGTTCATTCTGATATTTATTCACATGTGGGCGGCTGATCCTTACACAGGCCCCCTGCACCCTCACATATTCCCCCAGACCCCAGGAGTGAGACCACCACAGAAGAAGGCCCATGCCCCCAGGGACAAGCCCTAGAGCAAGTAGGCTCTGGCTGCCTTCACACCCTGCTCCCCGCAGAAATAAGGTGCCCAACCTGCCACCTCCCTTTATATCACCTCCCTTCCCACTGTATGCCTGCAGGCCCTCCCCTCTCTCGCCCTGTATCTTGCTCCATAAAGTATGGGTAACCAGTGCATATAATGTAGGGCAGAACAGGGATAAGGAGAAGTAGGGATGGGGATATGATCTGTCAGCCTCTACTGCAGGTGCTCCCAGTCGGAGACATAGCTGGAGGTGGAGTACAGCAAGGACAGCAAGGAGAAATTGAGGCATGGCCCTATGGTCACCTGAGACACGCTTGTCCTAGCTGGGCTGGCTCTCTCAATCAGTAATTCCTAAGGATTTTCTACAAAGTGAGAAGACCATGAGGGGTCCCCAGCACCAGTCCCCCTCATTTGTTCCTGCTAACACTGGCTCCTCTCAATCCAAGTGCCTCCTGCAGACTGTTATCAACTCCTGGAGGCAAATGCACATGAAAGGTGACTTTGCTCATAAGTCTGCCAGGAACCATGCTTGCTGTCAAACCACCCTTCCTTGCTCCTAATGGGAGCCCTTTCTGTAACTCTGGCAGAGAAGGGCACTCAGGTGAGAACAAGTTCTCTCAGGGCAAGAGTCTCCACCCCAGTCCTGCCCTGGTCAGCACCATCTGGCAGGTTGAGGTCTTTCCATCCACTCTATGCTTGTCCTGAAGACTGGATGCGGCAGCAGATGGCGATGACTATTACAAACTCCTCACTGGTCCTTCCTGTTTCGTCAGGATCCTGGTGCTTCGCCACACATGTGTTGTCCACAGGGAAAGCTCCCAGGGTGACTGAGTTCTCAGGATGGGCATTGCAGCTGGTCAGGGTCCAGCCTGCATCACAGCTCACGGTGACCTGCCAGAGTCCAGAGAGGACAAGTAAGGCCAGGTCCTGCATGCATGGTCAGGTCTCTAAACCAGCTGCTACACTGTCCCTCCCAGCAACCCTCAGTGGGGACCAAACTGTCAACACCTGGCTTGGTTCTGCCGCTCACACCCCAAAGGGGCTGTGTCCAACACTGCCCACCACTCCCTCAGGGTGCTTCAGCTCCAGCCTACCAGGACACTGGGGTCCAGACAGACATCTTAACAAACCAAAGCCCCTCCCACTTCCCACTTCCCTACAAGCCACCCCTCCCACAGCCTTCCCCACCCAGTGATGGCAACTCCATCCCCCCAGCAGCTCCACAAGACCTTGCAACAGCCCTCCACTCCTTGTTGCAGCTCATCCCAGACCAGAGCCACCACCCTCAGGTCCCAAACTCCTCCTGCCATGGCCTCTAGAGGCTAGCTCTCAGACTCCAAGAGGCCAAGTGTGACCTGCCCTCCCTTCAGGGATCTTCCTTCTCCTCCAACCTTCCATGGTTGCTCAGCCATTCCAGCCCTGAACAACTCCCATTCAGTGGGTTAAGTGCACAGGTGTTAATGTGTGTGTGTGTTTGTGTGTGTGTGTGTGTGTGTAAGAGAGAGAGAGAGAAAGAGAGAGAGAGAAAGAGAGAGAGAGAAAGAGAGACAGTGAGAGGGAGCGAGAGAGAGAAAGAGACAGAGAGAGAGAGACACAGAGAGAGACAGAGAGAGACAGAGAGAGAGCACCAATCCTGGGGTTAGAAATCTAGACTTAAGCCACAGCTCCACTTCTGGCTTCTTGAGGCTGTTAATTGGAGGTAAGAGTTTCTTAGACTTTCCTGCCTTGGCAGGCTTTGAACCCCAATCCTCAGATCTCGTCTCCCTGAGTAGCTCGACATACAGGTATGAGAACAGACTACTGGGTTGCTAAGCAGGTTCTCTAGCACTTGAGTCACAGCTCTGGCCCTTTTTTTCTATAGTTCTTTGCAATCCTCCTATTTATGCTACTTACAGAGAGCAAGAGAGAGAGAGACAGAGAGACAGAGACAGAGAGACAGACAGAGCAACAGAGAGACAGGGAGACAGAAAGACAGGGGGAGAGAGAGAGAGAGAGAGAGAGAGAGAGAGAGAGAGAGAGAGAGCGCAAGCTGCTAGTCCAATTGTACCAGCATACGCAGCTTAATTGTTTAGACATTATTTCTTTACTTTTTGTCCAGGTGGGTCTCAAACTGAGATCCTACTTCTTCCTTAAAAGTAGCAGGTATAACAAGCACAGCATTACATTACTGTTTTGAGACTCAGCAATGCATTTCTTGTTTCTCTGTCTCTCTGTCTCTCTCTGTTTTCTGTTTCCCTCTGTCTCTGTGTCTCTGTCTCTGTCTCTGTCTCTCTGTCTCTCTCTGTCTCTGTCCCTCTCTCTCTCTCTCTTTGTCTCTGTGTCTGTGTGTCTGTGTGTCTGTGTGTCTGTGTGTCTCTCTCTCTCTCTTTCTCTCTCTCTGCCAATCCTGGGGCTTGAATTTAGGGCCTGGGCACTGTCCTTGAGCTTCTTTTGCTCAAGACTCTACCACTTGAGCCATAGCACCACTTTTGGCTTTTTCTGTTTACTTTGTACTGAGAAAATTGAAACCAGAGCTTCGTGTGTGCGAGGCAAGCACTCTACCACTGAGCCACATTCTCAGCCCAGCACTGCATTTCTTTATGCCCTGTTTATGTGTGCTATCCTTAAAGTGGGACAGAGCACCTGGAGAGCAAACCTTACCAATCTGGACAGAAACAAAATCAAGCCACAACACTCACACACACATACACACAGCACAGGTGCATAGATCCTCCACTGTGCACTGACCACCCCAAGAGGATACAGCCCCAGCCATCTCCACCCCACCTCCCACAATCTCAACCCTTCACCTTCTCCAAGGGGCTTAAAGGCCTGTACTTCTTCGTTGTACACTGCAGGCCCGGAGCATGGCAGCAGGAAGCATGGACACTGGCCTCCTTGTGTCCCGCACACCGTCTGGGCAGATTAGTACCTCTCTTAGGTGTGGTATGTGGGAAGACACCAAGATTCTCCACCTCCCAATGGGAGCTGCAGCCTGGAACAGAAGAGGGCCAGCTCACACACTGGGATGCCGGACACCCTTTCCCTCAATCACGTACTTTATTTTTAGATCCAAACCCAGGGAAACCCAGGAGCAGCTCTGAGTAGAAGAGACATTGCCTGAGCAGCAGGACTTTTGGCTTAGCTCTGACTTGTAGGACCTTGGGAGAGCAGCTCAACTGCTCTGAGCCATAGGTTCCTGGGAGTCACATGGTCTCCTCTACACCAAAGAAGGGGAGCCCTGGGACAGGATCCCCAGGCCAGAAATGTTCAGCTACCTCTCACCACAACCCCCCTCCCACCTCAGGTCCCCTCCTCATCCATTACCAGCTAGAAGATCAGCCTGAGCTTGGATCTGTGGGCTTGGAAATCAGGGGCACCTGGCTGTAAAATTGTGGATGGCTTGATGGAATTCATCAAGGCTCAGTTTCCCTATTTGCTAAAACAGCCAGAGCAATAGCATCGACTCACAGAGTTCTTGCTTAGCTGAAGCAGGAAATGCCTGGGAAGTCCCCGTACTATCCATGCAGGACCCGGGCTCTGCCCACATTAGGGTTATGGTAGCCAGGACCAGAGCCCCTCGCCCGGCTGCGTGGCTTTAAGAAATGAATTCAGCCACTTTACCTGCAAATGGAACTTGGCATGGGCTACCCAGTGAGTGCCTGAGGCTCTGCCACCTTTGCCAAAGGCCAGGCTTCCTGCCAGGCCAGCAGCCACATGGAGCTCTTGTCCTGGACAAGGCTCTAGCCACTTGGTTCATCTGACTGCTGTGAATCCTAATCCAGCCAGCTTTTAACCCCACCTGACCCTTACTATTCCAGAGCCTTTAGACTCCCCTGTGCTTAGCTGTCCAAGGCCAGCTCCTGACCTAGTGACTCAAAATAATTCCTAGAGCCCCTTAAGCCCCACCTGGTCCCAAGCACCTTCTGAGCATGGCTGTAGCCCAAGATCCACAGTGCCCAGCTCCTAAGTCCAGCCCTCACCCACGACGTCCAGACACTTTCCTGGGCAAGATTTGACAGAAGGTCCTTAGCCCAAAGAAAGGACTTCAGAGTGATAGCTGATAACCGTGGCCACCAGAAAGCATACTGTCCCAGGATTAGAGCTGAGCATTCACGATGAGGACACTAGGGCACAGGGCTGAGAAGGAACTTGCCAGCTACTGAGTGGCAGTTGGAATCAACCTGAGCTGTGCCCCACTTCTGACAGGCCTGAACTATGGCTCCCCACCACACAGCTGGTAAACAGCTCCCAGTGCCCAAGCCGGAGCCCATCTGCCATCCCTCTCATCGCTACCACTGAGGCAGGGGAGGAAGAGAGAGGTAAACAGAGAGAGAGGTGAACCTAACCAAGGCCACATGGCATGCAAGTTGCACATATGGCTTAGCTATGAATCCTGAGGCTCCTAAATCTGCTGCTCACACTCATGGGGACCAAGTGTGGGACAAGGCTTCTGACCAGCAGGAGGTAGAGCCTCTGACTCACCCTGGCGGGACCAGCCCCTACCTGTGAGGACTTGGTCAGGATCCGGGCAGTGGGTGTAGGTCTTCAGCCCCACCAAGGCTGGAGGAGCTGTGTGGACGCTGCAGTTGGCTCGGGGGAGCAGGCAGCATCTGGCCACCGCAGAAACCTGACTATCTCCAAATGCCAGGCAAACACGTCTGTTTCCTAGGATCTGAGAGTCCAAGAGAAGAATAGGAACTTGTTGTGAAGAGGTTTGGGGACTGGGGAATCTGGTCTGAGAGGGACCCAGTCTGCAAGTTCTGGTCCCTGAATCCTCAGCACTGGTTGGGCCCAGGCAGTCTCTGGTGCCATGTGCAGCTCAGATGAATCTTCCCAACACTGACAATGGCTTCCAAGTGGAGACAAGGTGACCTGAGACCGCAGCGCAGGGCCTGTGGGCTCCCTGACGCACCAGGCCTCTCCTGAGAAACCTCCCTAACATTGACTTCTGCACAGAAATGTTCACCCACCTCGCCTTCATGGCCCCCTACCCTTCCCAGGGCCACCTAGGGTCTGGGAACTCCATCAGCTGCTTCTGCACCTTTGAAGTTCTCAGCTCACAGAGCCTCTGTCATCCCAACCTGAGGGTCCTGGTTGTGGATGTTCTTGGTTGGCAAGGAGAAGGAAGGGGTGTGTCAGTACTGGGACTTGAACTCAGGGCCTAGGTGCTGTCCCTCAGCTTTATTATGCAAGCCTGGCACTCTACCAGCAGAGCTGCAACTCCCCTTCACACATAATTGGAGGTAAGAACCACATGACATTTCCTGACTGGGCTGGCTTTTGAACCACGATCCTCAGATCTAAGCCTCCTGAGTCATTAGAACAACAGGCATGAGACAAAAACACCCAGCACAGAGATGGCTTTAGGCAAGGCAGAGAGCCGAAGCCACCGCTGTCCTTTCCCTCCTGTGCCCATGAGGGGGCTGTCTGTCCTGAGTCCCCCAGGAGCACCTGGCCCTGCCCAGGCCTTTGAAGTCGAGACAGGTATTGGAATCCAGAGGACAGAGGACTGGACACACAGAGTGTGCAGCTCACCCTCACACGCTCGCCCTGCCGCTTCCCACTCTGGGAGAAACTGGAGCAGCCCAGCAGCTCCTCCTCCGGGTCACAGTGAGCCTCAGCAGCGTGTGTCAGCCTGAGGCCCCTGGATTCTGACCACACAGTCCTGCAGAACAGCTGTCCACCTGCAACAAGAACAGGATAAGGAGGCTCTTGGGGAACACCAGAAGACGGCAGAAAAAGCTTCAACCCGAGGTGAGGGAGAGAAACTAAGACACCACATGAAACTTTGAGGTAAAACTATAGAGTTACAACAATGCCGTGGAGCCTGGAGTCCTATCTGAGGAGGACAGTCCTGTCAACCAGGTTGGGGCCTATCACCATCTCATGGGCCTCTCACAGCTCAGGTTGGCCTCTGCCTACCCACCTGCCCTGCTCACCTGTTTCCTGGGTGCTTGGGGGCAGTGCAGCCACCAGGTTGGGGGTCTTGACTCGCTGTTCTACTGGGAACCAGGTGTCATCGATAGCATTGCTGATAGCGTAGTGGAGCAGCCTCTGCTTCAGCTCAGCCACAGTGAGGTTTGGCTGGGCAGTGAGCATCAGGGCTGCAATGCCTGATGGGGAAGGGAGAGGTCAGACAAGGTGATGGGCTGGCCTCTGACCTAGCTGGGAACTCCTTTTAGGACACAAATGCACACACATGCACACATCATGTGCTCTTCCCAAAATTAAGCCACCTGCAATCCCTTGCTTAGTGAAAGCTTGTCCTATTACCTCCAGGCCTTGGTACTGGCCATTTTGTTCACCAGGTGTGCTCCTGTTTACCCTCCAAACCCCCGCGATGCAAAGTGCACCATCACCATCAGGTCTGCCCATTTGGTCCTCCTGCGCAGAGCCTGGCATATGGAGGATCTGGCCAAAGGGGTCGCTGGAATCCTGGTGGTCAGGACAGTGGATTGGTGACTCACCAGCCACATGGGCAGCGGCCTGCGCGGTCCCACTCTTTCTTACATAACAAATGGTACAGTCTTTGTCAGCACTGACAATGCTTTTCCCAGGAGCAAAGATGTCCACACAGGATCCATAGTTGGTCCCCAGAGGTCCCTGGGTGAAAGGCTGGTCCAGGAAATTGACAGCTCCAACAGTGATGACCTGGAATGTGGCAAAGAGCTGAGGAAGAGGCTTCAGAGGCAGACTGATCGACTCCTATACTACCTGTTTAAGCCCCATGCACATGTCCCCTTCAGAGGAAAATCTGGCTCATGAGCACAGCTGATACCCTATCCTGTTCCGGGATTTCCACAGGATATAGACAGTGCTCCCCATGCTTAATGTACATAATAGGGAGACAAATACTAAACATATAATGTTGTCATCAAGAAGGCAGAGTGCTGTGGAGCAACCCCTAATCAGCCAGGCTGGGTACAGGTGGTTTTAAGTTCAGCATCTCTGTAGCCCTGTTGGGCCAGTCTCAGGGGAAGAGGGAGAGTGAAGCAGCTTCCCCACATTTCAGGGCCCAGAAATCTGGGAAGTGGGACAGGTGTCCTCCTCCTGGTACTGCCAGACAAGCCCCACACAAGGCAAGGGCTCTGCAAATGTCAATCAGGAGGGGAGGCATGACACAGGTGGAGGATTCCATGCGGGGGGCGGGGTTAATGTAGGGATGTGGTTTAAAGGAAGGGCAGGACTAGCCCCAACCCTTGTCACACTGGGGGTGGAGGCTGGGCCTCTGACAACCTGCAAGGCAGGACATGAGCAGGAAGCCCTGCTGGCACCTACCTCAGGAGACGAGGCTGGAGAGTAGGCACAGGCATTGCTCTGAAAGTTGCCCGCAGCGGCCACCAGCACTGCTCCAGCCCTTGCCAGGCGCTTGCAGGCATCGTTGATGCTCTGACTGTACCCACTCACCATTGGCAGCAGCACTACCATGCGCTTGGAGGGATTGGAGACCAGCTGTTTCCAAAGAAACTCCAAGCCTGACAGAACAAAGCCAAGATGACTGTCTGGAGGGGACACGCTTCCTTCCTCCAACCCCTTCCCTCCAAAACAGCAGTGATGCTCATTATTGACAACTAGATGATCCTGTGTTGTATGAAATGCATCTTAGTTCACACACACACACATTACATGGCTAACATCTATATCCATTATTCTTTTTGTTTTAATGACTTCTGTTAAGGTATTGAGCCTTGCTCGCTATGATGGCTCAATCACATGATGGCTCAAAGGAAGTAGGAATTCTGCCTGCCCACAACCTTCTGACTCAAGACTGCAGGCATTTCTAGCCTGCCTGGCCTGGCCTGCAGATTGGAGGCTCAACCACCAGATGGCAAGAGTCAGTCCTCAGATCTTGACCACACACACACACACAAACACACACACACACACACACACACACACACACAAACACACACACACACGAACACACACACACATTTCCCATGTGTACACATGGGAGTCATTAATCATGACTGCAGCTGCAAACTGACCAGTCCAAGGTCTTCCCCTGCTCGCCTCTCTAGATGACTTGTTTACAAGATGCTCAAAATAACCTGTCCGTACACTTTTCCAGGACACAGGTCTTGAAGTGGAAGCTTGGTGTTCTGAGAACGAAGGCAGACTTCACGATCACTCACCACACTCTAGGCCTGGCTCCAGTGTCTCTTAGAGCATCCCACCCACAGGAACCTGAGCCTGTCCTGGCTGCCTGCTGCCAGCTGTCAACCCCATTATAAAACAGGCATAGGTACTCTGGAGGTCTCCAGGGTTCCAAGGGCAGCTGGCTGCCATCCTAGGGAAATGGGGCTCCCTCACAACTATGATCTGCCTCTGGCCATCCAGCATGACCTGGAGTCCTGGGGTCTAAACCTGCCTAGGGCAGGCACCTGCAGCAAACAACCCTATATGCTTAGCTCCTGGCAACACACTAGTGTCCCTACACTGACCCCTCAACCACTCCTGGATCTGGGCCTCTGTGGCCAAGGGAGGAGTTGGAATCTTACTGCCACGTGCCTAGAGGACAGCCGCTGAGGAGGGAGGGGGAGGGGCATGGCAGTGGGGGTGGCCAGTGCAGTCACAGCTGTAGTTATTAGACCGCTGCGGTGTGCAAAGCTCTGTGCTCAGTCACACCTCATTCCAGTCACTGTGCACAGAGGAACTGCTGATTGCGGTGGAGGTGACAGCTCCTCTGTGTGAGCCCTGCTCTGGCCAGGTGATGCCATGACTGAGACCCCAAAGAGGGCTGCTGTTCCCTGGGCCAGGCCCAGCATCAAAGCCTTCCCTCCACTCATCACCTTTGGGAATCAAAGGTCAAGGCCAAGGTCAATCAGCAGAGGCATGAGGCAAGCACAGGGGTCACTGTGATGAGCCAGGGTCTCTTGATCCCTGCCTGCAATGGAACACAAAGCTGGAGCCTCTGTGAATAAGATTTGGGGCAGTGTGTAAATCTGGACTCCATGCAGTTGAGCATCGACCAGGGACCTGGGCTCTTGGGGAAGGTGAGTCAGCCTCCACCCAGTATCTTCTCTATGAGCCAGTTTCTTCTCTGTGAGCCTGGACAAGTCGCCCTCTCTAGCTGGCTTCACTAACTGTTAATGGATGTCACCTGCCAGCCCCAGGTGTGGCGTCCAGAGCCCTTGGCTCAACCTTTGGCCACCGCAGCTCTGAGCAGAGCTCCCTCCTTGTTCCCTGTCCATGGCCACGACAGGCCTGGCTCTCAGCAGGACCTCTCAGGCCCGGGCCCCAACTCTCCTCTCCATGCAGTGGATGAAGAAACCTGGGACAGTCTGGACAAGGGGTTGCGGGTTCCTCCAACAAGTCTGCTCAGCCAAGGTGACATATGGAGGCAAACTAAGAGAAATGAGCCCCACAATGCTTGGAGGGGAAACTGGCTTTCTTTCTGTCTCCTGGGTCTGTGGAGATCTAAATCCACATGACAAATGACACAGAATTCTGAAAGCACAGAGCACATGGAATGTAGAAGGAGCATGGAACAGGGGCTCACTTGGGCTGGGTCTCTGCTCCCTTGAGCCCAGCACTGGCAACTTTGAAGGTTCTGCCGCTGCACCACTGGTACTCTGTGGCAGAGGCTACCATGCCCTCTTGGGTCTGGAGACATTGCTCCTCCCTGGCTGAAGCCCCTGCCCCCACGGCCAGATGGAAAGACAACAGAATGGGAGCTGCCACTCACCCATGACGATGCTGCTGACGGTGCCCTTCCCTTGGCAGTTGAGCACACGCAGGCTGTGTATCTTGATGTCCTTGGCCACGCCAACATTCTGACCGCTGACCAGGGCTGCCAGGTGGGTGCCATGGCTTTCACAATTGTCCTCCTGCTCCACCAACACAAGGACCAGATGAGAAAGCCATCTACCCCATGATTTCCCAACAGACCCCGGATGGACTGCAATGCCCACCCTCCCTGCCTACAACTGAGGACTGGGGATGGATGGTGATGGCTGGGGAGGGTGGCCATGATGCTCCAGGTCTGGGGTCCTCATCTTCCTCTGGGATGGGCTGGGGAAGGATGTCTCACCTGTGTCCTGGGCGCACTGGTGCTCTGCCACTCCTCCTCAGGCACTCTCTCAAAGTTAGAGATGTTGATCCTGCCCTTAATTTCCATGTGATTAGGCTGGATGCTAGTGCCCAAGAGATACACCTCCACGGGGTTGTCCCTCTCTTCCCACAGTGACATTTGTGCGAGATGAGGAAAAGGAGAACCGGAAAGATGATGTTACAGGTGGTCATGTGTATCAATGATGGCATGCTCTGCTTACCAATTATGCACACTGTTTCAAGGACTGTACATGAACTTAATCTTCGAAAAGTCCTCCCACTACCTCCTATTGGGAATATTTTACTGACCAGGCCAGTGAGACAAGAGATGTACAAGTCGTTATGTTCAAAAGGAACTTTATAACTTTGATGGGGTGGGGAAGATTGGGTGGGGGATGGGATGGGGGAAGTATGGGAAGGCATGGGAAGGGGAAACAAAGGAGGAGGCTATAATGCTTGATAAGAAATGTACTCATTATCTTGACCATGTAATTGTAACCCCTCTGTACATTATTTTCACAATAAAAAAAAGAGATAGGAAACTGTCCAAAACCATGTAGGTGGCCAATTCGAGAGAATCAGGAAACTCCCCAATAGCATGCTGCCTGGGTCTTGTTATCAACTCAAATGGCCCAGCTCCACCTTGAGTTCTGTCATTGGCTGGGATCAGCCCAGGAGGCAGGGCCTCAGTGACCTGCTCTTACTACTGGTTCTCTTGAGGCAGGATTACAGCAGCACAAGCTCTATGGTTGTCCTTGTGACCAACTCCAACTACAGTTAGTGAAACCAGAAATTCAAGATAAAATGATCAGCCATGCCACACTCCCTCTGAAGCTTCTGAATAACAAGCTTCCATGACCTTGTCCTCTTTTTTCTGCTGGTTGCTGGCTTTCCATGATTTAGAGCCACCTCACACCAAGTTCTACCCATCTCCACAGAACCTCCTCCTCTAATCTCCATTCTCTTACAAGGTTTAGATTTGAGAATAACAAGCAGGCTGGTCACCTGTGCTCTTTTTCTCTCTATTAATGAAGGACAGCACTGATACTCCCAGCCTACATTATAGCTGACCATATGGTACTTCCCCTATCCTGTCCCAGCCCAACAGCTTCTAAATGGCCTCTTCTAGCCAAGCCCTTGAGAAGACTCTAGAAGATTGTAGCCCTGTGTCCCACTCCTCCAGGGAGTGACAAGGTCATCATGGGCATCCCTACGGGATAGGAAATAGACTGTCTACTTCAAACCTGCAGGAGTGGTGGTAACTAGTGGCCCAGAACAGATCCTTTTAGACCTATCTGGAGGCTAGAGGTGTTAGCTCAGTGGTAACCTCATAAATGTGAGGCCTTGGATTCCAATTCCAGTACCACCACCAGACCTTATCTGGATAAGAGGTCTTTCCAGTCAAAGATCATCCAGGATGAACCACTGGTGCTAAATTCAATTCAAAGTGGACTCACACAAGAAGGAAGGGAAGGCTCGGCATAGTGGCTCACATCAATAATACCTGCTATCTGTGAGTCAGAGACCAGTGCATCAAGGTACAAGGCCACCCCAGGCAAACAGTTCACAAGACCTCATCTCAACCGATAGCTAGCAGTTACTCAGCAACCAAACCAAGGAGGATTGTGGCATAAGTCTCATATTTCTCGCCTAAACATGAGAACTTATCTGAAAATAACTACTATGTAAATGGCTCAACTGGTAAGGACCTGTCTCCCAAACAGGAGGCCCTGAGTGTACACTCAAAGACGGTAAAGGAGGAAAAAAATGAATAAAGTTGAGCATCAGTGTCTCAAGCCTCTTATCTATTTGGGAAGGTGAGATCTAGGACATTAAAGGTGTGAAGCCAGCCTGGGCAGAGAAATCCTCTAGACTCCATCTCCAATTATCTAGCAAAGTCGTTTCCAAGCATCTGTGTCAGGCTTGTCTAACACTGAAGGGTCCAGTCAGAACCTCTGATCCTCTCCCAAGCAGGTGCCCTTACTGCCTTCCCCAGCTCAGTGTCACTGGGACGCCACACCCACCCCCCATACAGTTATTTTCCTGGTCTCCTCCTCTGCCTCTCTCTGCACAGGCCGAAGGAAATGTGGGCAGAGAGGCTTGGAGGCCGGGGGAGACCAGAGACCTACATGGGGGAAGCTCTGGAGATCTGGTCTTATTTTGAGGACTGAAAGCTATAGAGATTAGAGACTGTAAGTCACAGTCAATCCAGCCTCCTCCTCTGGCAAGAGTGGCCTGCAGGAGAGAAGATGAGAGAAGGAATTATGAAGGTGGTTATTCAGGCACCAGTGGCTCAGGCCTGTAATCCTAGCTACTCAGGAAGCTGAGATCTGAGGGTGGCAGTGCAAAACCTACCCTACAGAAAAGTCTGTGAGGTTGTTATCTCTAATTAACCACCAAAAAGTTGGAAGTAGAGGTGTGACTCACGTGGTAGAGCACTACTTTTGAGCTGAAAAAAAATGAAGGGACATCACCCAGGCCCTGAGGTCAAGGCCCCAAATTTTACAAAATTCAGGTACAATAAGAATCATGTGCACTGAGTACCAGCAGGGGGCGCAGTCCCAAGTGGGGTTTGGAGAGGACAGAGAGAAAACAGGCAGGGGGCCAGGTGCCAGGACAGGGAGGAGATGTGGGCCATGGCAGCTGTGGTCTTACTGCTGTGGTTGAAGCTATGAGACTGGTTCCACTCAGGAGAAATCCGCCGCAGGTTCCACAGGATGCTCTGAATGTGGTTCCGGTGACGGAAAATCAGATGCGGGGTCCACAGGAGGCTCTGTGCAAAGGCAAAGGAATCCTCCTCGATAAACTTCACCTGCCTCAGACTCAGGACCTGCGGATGCCAAGGACACAGGATCTCAATTTCATGAGTCACTTAGCCAGCAGCACCCAGCACTTGCCGCACCTGATCCCACCAGTGACCCCAGCATGCCCACCCACAGTCCCCCTCCCATTGACCTGAAGACAAACCAGGGTCCTCACTGCTCTCCTAGGCTTGGGAGTGGAGGAAGCTGGGAACAGTGCCCCCACAACTGGTAGCTGAGCCCACATGAGTGGCAGGAGGGATTCAGCTTCCACATCTCATCCGGGAGCCAGCCAGTGCCAGTTTTAGGCAGGCTGGACAGTGCGGGAAGTCCCTTGGGCCAGGACTCCATGTGCACATCAGGATGTCAGCACTGGCCATCCTGGGTATTCACTCCCTTCCCTGTTAGACCACAGTGTTATGAACCCTAATGGTGGCAACTAGGTGCTAAGCCAATGCAGAAGTTCGAGGATATGGGAGAGGGTAGACACACCAGCAGGAATTGAGGGCATAATGTGAGTGTGTGCGTGTTTGTGTGTGTGTGTGTGTTCATCCCTCTCCCTGCTCTGGAGCATACCCCACTTGCACACCCTCCTGGGCTCTCCCTGACCTTTCTCTCACCTTAGCTGCGGGCACAGGCTGCAATGCACCAACACAAAGACAATGGCCAGGTGAGCCAGAAGCTGGGGGTCCAGCTCTACCCTCTGAGGCCATATGGTCCCTCTGCACTGAGATCCCTCCTGCTTTGATGAGGGTAAATGGACAAAGTACTATTAGGGTAATTGGCCAGGTTAACAAAGAAGCTGCCTGAGGAGGCTGGCATCACCTGCATCACTGAACTAGAGATGCACCAGTACTCAATAAGTGTCTGCAGTCTCCTGAGTGTCCACCAGAGGGTGAGGGCAGGCCTTTCCCCAGCAGAGGGAAGTGCATGCCTGAGCAGGGACTCACCAGATCCAGTGTGCTCACTTTGTCAGATTTCATCAGGATGCCAGGAAAGAGGTCTTTGAAGACGTGCAGCACTTCGAACTTGAAGCTCCGCCTGGCAGCCTTGCTCTGAAGGTGGTGGACAATACTCTCCATCTGCTGTCTCTCGGATTCCGTGAACATCACGAGGTAGGTGTTGGGCACCTTCCAGGCACTCTGGCCCCAAGGGAGGAAAAGGAGCATGAGGACATCAAAAGAAATACCCTGTCCCTTTCTACAGATTAACTTAGAGCCCAAAAGACCAGCGACATAGAGAGACTATAGATACCAGCTGACTCGGTGAGGCTTAAACCTCTCCACAACACACACAGTGACATCACCCACAAACAGATCCACACACTTCTAAACAAGGCATCCATTTCCTAGGGAAACTGGAGGCCACCCGTCAGCCCAGTGTCCCAACATCCTTCCCAGTCTAACACATCTCCATTTTTCCCCACCAGAAGCAGCCCAGGATGCCTCACACACTTCAGAGCCAGGAAAATATGAATCTGAGCCCCTACCACGCCCAACATTTATTGGCCAGGTGCAAGCCACTTAACCATCCTGTGCCTCAGAGTCTCTGTATTCCAGAGACTGCACTACCCACATCACACCAAGTCCAGGGAATCAGAGCAAGGCCGTTTCCACAGGGAGAGAAGAGGCTCTGTGGGCCTTGGTTTCTCATTACTGTAATGGAAGGATAGGTTGGAAATGATTTTCCACTTGTAAAACACAAAGAAGTCTTCATTCTGGGCCAGTGTGGCCTCTCTATGGGTGAAGGGACTGCTGTGTACCGTCCATATGGTACCTGCTCTACCCTGTCCCAGTACAACAGCTCCTAATGGGCCCCATCTCAGCCAATACGTAGACATGTAGTGGGCACCTACCATCCCAGCTCCATTGACCTTAAAGGAAAAATAGCCAGAACAAGATAGAGGCAGTAGATTGGATCCAAGCACATCGTATGCATGTATGTAAATACCACAATGAAACCCCTTTAGACAACCCATGTATGCTAATAAGACATTGAGAGCACCAAGGGGCTGGGGGGTTCTCAAGTGGTGGATGCCTGCCTAGCAAGGGCGATGCCCTCAGTTCCAATCCCAACACACTTCACACATGCATTCTAAATCTGACTCCACAAAAGTGCTCATGGGATGAACATGTGGACCTGAGGACCTTCCTGGAACAAACTCCCACCAGGGATGAACACCCTCTGCTACCTGGTCCCGGTGGCTGTCCAGCCTCTGCTCCTGCACCTCTTAGGATAGGACACTCAGCCTTGTACAATAGATATGGGGGGGCAACAGAAGATGCGTAGTGATGACTGGAAATACCCTCTTTATGATCTATCTACTTATTTTAATTAATTTTAGGAGACACAATCTCGCTTTGAAGCCAGGCTGGCCTCAAACTCACAGTTGTCCTGCCTCAGCCTTCCTAACACTGGGATGACTGGAGTGCACCATGCTGAGCTCACGGCTTATTATCCGCACCACAGCCCCACAAGATCCCTGGAAAGGTGGAAAAAGACCCAGGGATTAAGGCAAAAAGTGCTCTGAAGCAGATCAAGGGCCTGGCAGCCTGTGGCCCAGCACAGGCCCCTTGGGTCTCTCCACTCCATCCCAGAGGCCGAGCAAGTCAGGTGTGGTAGGAAGAGACAGCAGCTGCCTGACTGTGACAACCCATCTCTCTGGGGCCTTGCAAGCTGTGATCAACCAGTCTCCTTCCCCCCTTCATCCCCTCTGAGCAGCCAGACACATCACCAGTACCTGCTTACACCATGCCTGCTGCTGGCGCCCACCCCGGCCACCGTGGGACCACAGCCAGACCTCAGGCAGGCGGTCTGAGTGCACTACAAGCCCTAGCCCCACCCCACCGCTCCCCGACCCTCTGCCTCCAGGCCCAGCCATGCACTGCTGCCAGTTCTGGCAGATTCTGCTAGCCTATCTCCCCATCTGGTGCCTACGGTTCCCGCACCGCACTAAGCAAGTGGCCAAATGAGCAAAAGGCTCTCTGCGATCTTTGCTTTAGATTTTCCCTTATACTGGGGAAACTGAGTACAGAAAAGTAATGACATCCATGCGTCTCCTCACTACCCCCCCTTCTCCCCACCTCAGAGCTCCGTTATATGATGGTTGTGGGCTCATGCTGGTTCTCCAATGGTGGGGTGAGCCCCAAGCTCTCCCTGTCTCTGTCCAGCTGCTCGTGGGCTCTGGACCTCGCAGGGCTCAGCAGCAGCAGCAGGACCAGCGGCAGGGCCCGCAGCAGCCACCGCACCCTCCCGGAGCCGTCGGTGCCCATGGGGCAAGAGGAGAGATGTGCACCTGGCACTGAGGTCCAGATCCAGGACCCGAGAAGGGACAAGCACAGGGCCACGCAGGGCAGCCGGGCTGTCAGGCTCACGGTGTGGGGCCCACCTGCAGCCCAGTGTCTCCAAATCGGGGGAAAGAGACCTAGGTGCCCAGGGCTGTACACCTGGAACCCAGGACAGTCCCATCTGATTAAATACTAGTGAAGCCCACCCCCTTCCACACACACCCGCAGGCCTGGAGCATCCGGTTTCAGTCTCATCCTGCCCTCCACACTCTGTCAGATGGCCCTTGCCCAAGGAGCCAGTGGGCGGGTGTCAAAAAAAGTCCCAAATCCTAATGGAACTGGACACGAGTCCTGCCCTCAGGTCTCTGTCTCTCACCTTGAGTTGTCACCGTCCCCTCAGGGTTCCCCTCGACTGTGACTGTGAGTGACTCCACTCAGTTTCATGGAGGAGTCCTCACTTCCCACCCATCTCCTCCCAGCACTCTAAACTTAGCCTGGATCCCTCTCTGGTCTCCCCCTCATCCTTCTGTGCCCTGCATCCCAACCTACCTAGACCTCCACACAGAGAGATAGCCTGGATTCTCAGTTCCAGTCTACAGAAGCTAGATCTTAGAATCTGGGAAGATGACGCAGAGATGAAGTCACATCTCAGTGTTGCAAGCAACTGAGTTTGTAAAGATTTCTTAGCACATGGCTAAGAACCCAAAGAGACAAGCATCCAGAAAGCACCAGGCAGAAGGGTGAAAGGGGGGACCGGCAGCCCAGCCCATGGGGGCTCTCCCCAGAGGCTTGAGCATGTTTGGCAGGTAGCAGAAGATTCTCAGTGCTGAGCTGGGCCCCTGGGGGTTCACAGCTGCTGCCCTTCCCACCTGTTTGCAGAGCCTCTGAAGAACCACAGGACCAGCACTGGACCAGCCATGGACCAGCAGGGTCCTCAGTGACATGGAGAGGAGGGAGGTGCGCTCCTTCGCTCCTTTCCATGAAGCACCACCTTTTTGTCACAAAAAGAGCAGCTGTGTTCAATTGTTGGCTAAGAGCGTCAGGTGGAAGTTCTCTTTCCTGTGGCCTGTTGGCAACTCAAGTGTGTCTGCAACTCCCCTTTGGGCAGCTTCCTCCACAAAGCTCCCTCCGCTAGCAAGAATGTCTGTGAGTGCCTGGGCAAAAGTGATCAAGACCGCATCTCAACCAGCAAGCTGGGTTTGGTGGTTCACAGCTGTAATCCCAAATACATGGGAGCAATCATGTGAAGGCTCAGTGGAAATATAACGAAAGCAAAAAGGGCTGAGGTGGTGGTTCAAGGGGTCAAGCACCAGCCAAGCTTAAACCCTGAGCTTTACACCAAGTATAGGAGGAGGAGGACGAGGAGGAGGAGGAGGAGGACCAGGATGAGTCCGAGGAGGGAGAGAGCTGAGAAAAAAGCAAAGAAGGATTCTCTCTCCCTGGGAGGTTTGGCAAGGTGGGCCTGTCAGTCCTCATTGACTTGAACACAGGACTTTGAACTAGAACTCTTAGTGTTTTTTGCGCAGGTTTTCTGCCACTTGGGCTTCCACATCCAGGCAGATGTCTTTGCTGGTTATTTTGGAAATAGAGCCTGCTGCTCAGGCTGGCTTCAAGCCATGATCCTCAGAGCCCAGCCTCCTCAGTAGATAGGGTTACAGGAGCAAGGTACTCGCTAAGTTGTCTAACTACAATAACATTTTAAATGGAACTTTTCTTTAACATTTCTTTTGCCCACAAGTAGAGCTTCAAGTGTCCTGACCTGAAACACCCTGAATGCTTTGTCTCCTGCAGCAGGCAGGTTTTCCCCACAATGGCTGCCCACTGCTCCAATCCATTCATTCAGCTGCCCATCTTTACTCTTCTTAGTAGAATTGGTATTTCATTAATAAATCCTCCTTGACTTTGTGTGTATATGTGTGCACGCATGCATGTGCACCAGTACTGAGACTTGAACACAGGAACTGGGCGTTGGCCCTCAGTTCAAAGATAGCTTTACCACTTGAGTCACAACTTCACTTCCTAGTACTTACTGATTAACTGGAGAAAAGAGTGTTATGGACTTTCCTGCCCAGACTGGTTTTGAACGGGGATCCCTAGATCTCAGCCTCCTGAGAAGCTGGGATTACAGGGGTGAGCCACAAGGGCCTGGCTTCTCCATGACTTGGTATCCATTTAGAGCTCTTCATTGGGCCCTGTTAGTAGCTCTGTCAGTAACAAACTAAACATGTGTCTGCATTCACACTTAGCCATTTCATTCCCTAGGAAGTGATCCCAAAGAAATAAGCAGTCAAGGGTACAAAACAACCATTGTGATAATGCAGTGTAGAAAGTGGAGTGTCCTAGCACAATCCAGGAAGGACCCCAAACATATCTCCCAGGTCATCCATGGCCAAGATGCAGGAGCGGACAAGAACCAATGCACTAATGCATAAGAAATCCTGCTAGCTAACTAGCTCAGCTCATACATAAAGGCCTCATTAAGGCCTGCCAGGGTGTCAGAGGCCCTGGCCTGGCCTGGCTGGGTAGGAAGCAGCACTGGTCCTGCTGCTGGGAGCTTCCATGTCTCTGGCAGAGCTGTTCAGGACTCAGTTCACTGCACCTGCTGCTCTTAGGGAGGTGTGATTCTGGACTCTGACTGCAATGAGCTCCCCTCCCCTCCAGTATCTCTGTCTGATTTAATGAAGCTTTCCTCCAGTCTCCCCAAGTGTCTTATACTTTTGTTTGCCTTCCCTGCAGCCTTCAGTAGCCTGCACATCCATCAGCAAGGGACAGATTTCGATCTGGTTATGGGGTGGAATAGTTAGCAGCTGTTGCAAAGAATGAAATAGCTGTTTATCTATTGGTATGAAATACATTTGATACCAATAGCTTTTGAACAGCATGTTTTGAGCTGAGCACTGGTGGTGCTAAATAAACATGTTTAGTGCTAGTTCCTCATGAGACTGAGATGTGAGGTTCAATGTCAGCACAGGAAGACAAATCATAGATCTTTGGGAGATGCTCAGACAATTCAAGATACTCACATGCTAGCACATGGGTATAGACAGTGTTCTCCTATGCAGACAGATGAGGCAGAATGGGAGGCAGTCTCCTTGTCTGCGTTATACAGTTCTGACATGGGATGAACTGGGGTCAGGCAGCCGCTCCCCTCTCCATGTTCATTGGCACCTTTGTCAGAACGTGTCTGCTCTTCTGAACCATTTAGTCCAACTGGAGGGGCACATTGAACAGATGAAGAAATTTAGGGCCAGAACGGGAAATACCTTATCAGCATCACAAGGCTAGAGGCAAAGCAGATCTGATTTTTCCAGCTGTTTCTTGGGAGCTCCATGGAGCAGGGGTTAAATGTTGTATTTTGTCCCCAGAATCCCGAGGCTCCTCCTTGGGCTAATGGAGCTAGAAGAGGATAGACAGAGGAGTTGTGGCTCAGTGCCCAGGTTGAAAAGGGCAGGCAAATAGGAAAAACTGCCTGCACATCTGTCAGAGAACTGTCTCCCTCATGACGCTATGGACTTGACAGAAGAGGAACCCTGACTGGGTCACCTTGGTGTGCCCAGCACCTAGCCAGAGCTTGATAGGTACCTGAATAACTGATTAGGTTAGTGCCCAGCACTGTTCTGCATGCTGGGTTACAGCAGTGAAGGTGATGGGCAGAAACAGAGTGTGGAGATGGTGTCATTGGACATCAGTGCCGAGGATAGGGTACGCACATTGTGGGCAGGGAAGGAAGAGCTGGGCTTGGACGCAGGGCAGTGTGAAAAGCTCCTTTGAGAGAGGGAGCTGAGGAAATGGGCTGTGAGGATAATGTAGTGTGGCTCCCAGGGGCAGGGCTGCCCAGCAGGAAGGCAGTAGGATGGCCAATGTGGGATACAGATCTAGAAAGGTTTGAGTCCCCTCTGGGAACAGGGTGTGTGACATCAAGTCTGCAGAGTGGACACAGATTCCAGAGGGACAGATGGGAGGAGAGTACATCTGAGCAAGGCCTCCTAGGTGCAAGGACTGAGTCCCCAGGGCCTGTGGTGAGGGCCCTCCCAGGCCTGCTGATCTCCCCACGGGAGACACTGGTCACAGACAGGGTTAGGGTAGCCCAGGGGGAATGTGATGTGTGTCAAGAACTTTGGAGGACACTGAGCTGGGAGAGGCAGCCCTCAGCATCAGGAGGAATGCTTCATGGCCTCTGGTGCTAGAGACAGGCAGATGTGGGGAAAGCAGATGCTCAGGACAGGGAGCTATAGAGCCATAGAGAAGGGTGTGTGGAGAGGGTGCTGAGGATGGGGGCTGCTAGCATAGGACCAGGAGGGCTAAAGCACAGAGGAGCTATGAGGAAGGGAGGAGGGACAGAGGGACAGGCTAAGAGCTTCTTTCTCCCCAGGAAGTTCTGGAGACTCTCTGGGAGCAGTGGCAGTGCCCAGCTGCACCAGCAGAGGACACCCAGTGGCCAGAGTGAGGCCCTGCAGCCTGCAGCCTGACAGGCAGGCAGGGCAGGGCCCACCTCAGCCTGGGCAGCACCTGCTCCAGCCTTCCCACCAAAGCCCACAGGGAGGTGGTAAGAGCATGGTGGTAAGAGAGGCAAAGCACACAGGAAAGGCAGGTTAGGTGTGGTGGGAGCCCAGACAGAGGGCAGTGTGTCCCAGCAGCCTTCCTGGAGGAGGCAGCTCAACATTGTGGTCCAGCTGTAACAGGCAGCACATCCACAGAGCACAGCTGGGTCCACTTGGAGAAGCTGGGATTGGGGGTGCAGGGTCGATTTTAATTTTAATATTTCAGACCAAGACAAGACAGGGCACTTCCCGAGGGTAGAGGGATTCTGGAAGCTTCTAATCAGAAGAGAGGCTTGACTAGCTTTCTGCTATACATACTCATTCACACTCATGCATGAACTTCTCTAAGCTCAACACAGTTTGGGGGCCTCTCCCTGTCCCTATCCTCCTGTTCTTGTCCCAGAAGCTCCTTGCAGACACCTGTGAGGAGAAGATGGAGCCAGG